GCAGACTGGGTTTGGAGCAGCACCCATCGCCTCCTTCACCCTGCCTTTCCTGAGGCTTCAACTGGAGCGTCCTGAATTCCGGGGGGGCCAGTCCTGAGACCCCCAGCCCTGACTTGCAACTCAAACCCTCACACTGTGAATATTTAAAGCCCACCCGTGCCCGTGTCCCTGCACGGGGCTGGGTTTGGGGTGACCCTTGGCACCATCCCAGTCCCTCCCCATCCTCATGTTGTTAGGGATCATTTGTTTTTTTTCATAGAGTGGATGAAAGTCTTTATCCTGCACAAATGTTCTGGGGGGCCGTGTGCCCCTCACGGGGTCCTCGCTGCGAGCTGGCCTCGCTGGGATTCCATTTCTTTGGTGGCTGCGCTTTGGAGAAGGGAATGGGGCTGGCAAGGATGGGATCCACGTGGGTGTAAGAGCTGGAAGTGCCCCCGCTGGGCACCCTGGGGCTTCTTGGCACTGCCCCGCTCCCGGGCTTTGGGAAGAGCCTGGTTTGGGATGCACCAGCCCTGGAGATGCCCCAAAATCCAACGGCTCCCTCCAGCCCTGGATGAAGCGTGGCCCGCGCTGCTCTGGGAGTTTCAAGCATTATTTTTATATGAAGGATGAAAATATGGACAAACCCGACTGTTTTTAAAGAAAGCATCACTATTAATTTGGGGTTATATATATATGTATATATATATGTGTGTGTGTATTTATGACTGGCAGAAGGAGGGGGTTCCTGGGCGAGGGACTGGTGTAAATCAGGATAAAAGCCCTGATGCAGCAGGAAGTCTGGGGCCAAACTCCTGGTGGTGTAAGTCACCAGTTTACACTGTGGAGGAGCTGCTCCTGGGGGAGAAAACTTGCCTTTACCCGTGTTGGATTTATTTTGCCTTTTTTTTTGTTGTTGTTGTTGTTTGGTTGGGGCTTTTTGTTGGTTTTGGGATGTCTTTTTTTTTTTTTTTTTTTTTTTATGAAATCCTGAAATATTTTATACAAAGGCATTTAAAAGTCTATTTAAAGAAAATAATGGAAAACAACTTGTATATTTAATATTATTAATAAACAGAGATGTGTAGCTTGGTGTAAGTCTGGGATGCAAGCGGGGACTGGAGATTGTGGCTGCCCTGTCACATCCCTGGGGTCCCTGAGGGGGTGACTGGGGCTGAGTCCTGGTGGTTTTACCCTGACCTGCTTCCCTGGGGATGCGTGTGGGAGTTCGTGGCCACTGCAATGAGGGCAGAGGGATTCATCTGCCCTTCCTGCCCCAGCTCTGCCGGCACCGCTGAGAGCTCCAGGCACCGGCTCTGGTGCTGTGGCCCCCCAAAATCTGTGTGAATGGTTGGGAAGCAGCTGTTTAAAACAAAGACACTTGAGGCAAAGTTTCCTGGAGCACTTTGCTTAGAGTGACAGCACTGGAAGAGGCATTTCCTCCCCCGACATCGCTCCCCCTGCTTTCCTTCCTTCTTTCCAGGAGCAGGGCAGCCCCATACCCTGATCCAGCGTCTCCAGGGGGATGCCAGGGGGCTCCCCATCACCCTGGGTCCCTACCAGCCCATGGGGTGTGCAGGGTGAACACCCCCCCTGCTCATCCGAGGGGGTGGCAAGGGCAGGAGGGGTCTGGGAGCTTTCTGTGAGTGCCAGGGCTGAGCTGCTGCCTTGTTTGCTGACAACCAGGATTCCTCGAGGGGAGCTGACTCAGCCCAGCCCTTCCTCTCCCCAGCAGCAGCCGGGGGTTTCCCAGGTCCACATCCCCTTCCCAGGGAAGTGGGACCTATATATATCCTGCTGGATCCGTGCCACGGTCATTATGGTCAGATTTGGGGGGTATTTGAGGCCGGAGGCTGCTCTTAGGGGTGGGCACCGTGCCCGGGTTTGGGGGTGCTGAGGGCAGCGAGTCCCTGGCCTGCTCCAGGATGCTCCAGGATGCTCCAGGGTGCACCAGGATACACCAGGCAGCTCCACAGCTGCACAGGAGAGGGTGGCTGGAGCTGGATGAAGGCAGCTAAGCTGGAAGCTAAGGCAGAGCTGGGGGGCAGAGCTGGGGGGCAGAGCTGGGAGCATCCCAGTTTGCTGGGCGGTGTGGGGACCACCAGTGCCCACCCCTCTGTGCTTACACCCCGCAGTCGCTCATCCCTGACTTTTTCTGGCTGCTCTGTGTGCTGTAAAAGCATCTGGAAAATGCAGGAAAAAAGCCAAATTGTCTCCCTGCCCTCAGGTTCGGGCCAGGAGGGTCCCTGTGCTCCTCATGTTCCCAGCTGGTGCCTTTTCCCCACCCTGTGTGGGAGCAGGGATGTGATTCCCTGCCCCGGGCACCTTCCACCCCCAGCCCCTGCAATCTGGGGGGCAAAACCTGCTCTCAGCCCCCCACTCAGGAATCCCATGGAGCTACATCCCTGTCCCTCAGCACCTGAAGGGGAGGGGAGAAAAGAACCCCCCATCCCAGGATTGTGTGGGGCACTCGGGGGTCCCTCCGGGGGTCCCAAATGGGTTTGTACTGCAAAAAGGTGCTTTGATGGGATGAGAACAGGGAGTTTGGGGGAAAAGATGGATGGTGGGAGGGGAAAGCATTGACAAGAGGCTCAGGGGACCTGAAGCATGGGCTGGCATGGAGTGACTATGGTCACCAGCACACCCCCCGGGGGTCCTGGGGGTCCCCACAGCCCTGCTGCTTGTGGCATTGGCAGGGCTGGGACATCTCTCAGGCTCATCCCGTTCTCCCGAAACCTCCCAGGCACTCGGAGACCCCCCCAGATGTCCTGAGACCCCTCCCAAGTGCCCCCAGAGAGCTCTGCCCACCCTGGAAGCCTCCCCAGAGCCGCCGCGGGCACCGCAGAGCTGCTGACGGGGCAGAAGCAGCGGAAAGGCCCCGGGGCCGCGGTTCCCGGGGCACGGCGGCTCCGGGACAGGGTTTTGGCCGAGGAACTGCTGCAGGATTTAGGTGGCCAGAGGCCGTTTTGTGGCCAGACAAAGCGGTTTTGGTTAAAAACCGTTATCTGCTCTTTCCCCTGGGGATTTTAACCCACACGCTGATTTTTTTTTTCCCAGGTTGTATTTTAAGGGAGCAGCCCCGGGGAAGTGAAGGCGAACAGGGCTCAGAGCCCTCCCTGCTGCTGGGGGGCGTTTGGGGATGGGGTGGTCCGGGCTCAGAGCCCCCCGCCTGTCTGTCTGTCCTGGAATGGCCCCTAGAGCCCGTGTGGGACTCTGCGGAGCCGGGAGCGCTCCGGGATGCGGCTGCGGCCCCTCAGTGTCCCTGGCCCCGGGGACAGGCTGGCTGTGACCCTCCCGGGAACGCAGGAGCCGGCAGAGCCCGCTGCGGGGCGGTGAGCAGCAGGAGTGCGGGAGGAAGCCCCGGCCAGGCTCAGCACTCCCAAAAAGCGCTCAGCACCCCCACGCTGGGCTGGGGATGTGGGCGGGTGATTCCGAGCCCCGGTGGCTCCGCTCGGCTCGTTAATGGGTAACGAGGGCCGGGAGGCGCTGCCCCGAGCCCGGGCTGGCGCTGAGCCGGGCTGCGGGGCCAGCACGGCCGAGCCTGCCCGGCGGCCCGGGGGACTGGCACCGCGGGGGTTAACACCGCTGGGATGGGCACCCACAGCTCGGGACCTGGGGATGGACACCCAGAGCTCCGGGACCGGACACAGCCCCGGGGATGGACACCCACACCTCCGGGACCCGGGGATGGACACCCACACCTCCGGGACCCGGGGATGGGCACCCACACCTCCGGGACCCGGGGATGGGCACCCACACCTCCGGGACCCGGGGATGGGCACCCACANACACCTCCGGGACCCGGGGATGGGCACCCACACCTCCGGGACCCGGGGATGGGCACCCACACCTCCGGGACCCGGGGATGGGCACCCACACCTCCAGGACCTGGGGATGGACACCCACAGCTCGGGACCTGGGGATGGGCACCCAGAGCTCCGGGACCGGACACAGCCCCGGGGATGGACACCCACACCTCCGGGACCTGGGGATGGGCACCCAGAGCTCGGGACCTGGGGATGGGCACCCAGAGCTCCGGGACCGGACACAGCCCCGGGGATGGACACCCAGAGCTCGGGACCCGGGGATGGGCACCCACAGCTCCGGGACCCGGGGATGGACACCCACACCTCCGGGACCCGGGGATGGACACCCACACCTCTGGGACCTGGGGATGGACACCCACAGCTCGGGACCTGGGGATGGGCACCCACAGCTCTTTTAGTGTCTATACTTATTTAGAAAAATTGTATATAAATTAATATAATTTATGTAATACGCTTATATAATTCAGTAATTTAATATAAATTCATGCACACCATATATATATGCATAAAATTAATGTATAGAAATTTTATAGCTTTATAATAATTTATAAATGTAAATGTATATAACTTATAAATATAAATAAATTAACATATTTTGCACATTTATATATAATTAATATTTAATTTATGTGGTTGCTATTTTATGCATAAAATTAATCTTAATAATTTTTTCATTTAGTCTAAATAAGGAATTTAATTAGTTTTAATTTAAAAACTAATTAAAAACTATTTTAACTACAAAACTAATTATATGCATATATAATTAGTTATTAATTAGATAATGAATTAATGATGAATTAATTATATATGAATTATATATTAATTACATATTAATTATATAATTATATGCACTACATAATAGTACATATTATATGATATATTATAGAAATTTATATGCAATTTTATTTATGTTATATAATTATTGTGGTTAATTGGGATTTGGCCCGCGCTGAGGTTCCTGACCACGCCCCCTCACCATGACCACGCCCCTCACCGTGACCACGCCCCCTGAGTGACCACGCCCCCGTTGGCCCCGCCCTCGTTCCCGCCCCTCAGCGCCCTCCCCTCCGTGTCCGCCAGGGGGCGCCCCGCCCCTCGCCCGCTCCCCCGGCGGCGCCGCGCGGCCTCGGCAGCCCGGCGGATGACGTCACGGCGCGGTGACGTCAGGAGGCCCCGCCCCTGGCGCGCCGGCCGCAGACCCGCCGCAGGCAGCGCGCCGGCGGCAGCGAGCGAGCGGGACCGGCCGGGCGAGCCGAGCCGAGCCGAACCGAACCAGAGCTAGAGCCAGAGCCTGAGCCAGAGCCGGGCCGAGCCAAGCCAGAGCCAGAGGCGAGCCGGGCCGGGCTGAGCCGAGCTAGAGCCATAGCCGGGCTGAGCCGAACCGAACCGAACAAAACCAAACCCAGCCGGGCCAGAGCCGAGCCCGCAGTGCTCCCGGCCCCTCCGCCGGCCCGTGCCCCGTTTGGTCCCGCCGGCGGCCGCGGCCCGTCCCGCGTTCCCCGCCGCACCAGGATGTCGGTGCCGGAGCCCGCCGGCGGCGAGGAGAAGCAGGCCAAGGAGGTGGAGGACGCCGAGAAATATTCCTTCATGGCCACCGTCACCAAGGCCCCCAAGAAGGTAGCGGGGCCGGGATCGGGGGGTGGCTCGGGGTGCAGCCCCGGCTGCCGGCGGAGCGCTGTGCCGCAGGGGCACGGGCTGTGCTGGGCGCGGGGAGCAGCCTCCTCCCGGCGGGGGCGAGCAGCCCGAGCTGCAGGGGGAGCGGGGCGAGCGCCCGGTCTGCGGCGGGACTGGCCCCTGGCGGGGCATGCAGCCTCCGCTCCGGGCGGGGAGCAGCCCCCGGCCGTGGGGAGCAGCCCCCGGCCGTGGGGAGCAGCCCCCGGCTGTGGGGAGCAGCCCCCGGCCGTGGGGAGCAGGAGCCCCCGGCCGTGGGGAGCAGGAGCCCCCGGCCGTGGGGAGCAGGAGCCCCCGGCCGTGGGGAGCAGGAGCNAGCCCCCGGCCGTGGGGAGCAGGAGCCCCCGGCCGTGGGGAGCAGGAGCCCCCGGCCGTGGGGAGCAGGAGCCCCCGGCCGTGGGGAGCAGGAGCCCCCGGCCGTGGGGAGCAGCCCCCGGCCGTGGGGAGCAGCAGCCTTTGGTTGTGGGGAGCAGCCCTCGGCCGTGGGGAGCAGCCCCCGGCTGTGGGGAGCAGACCCCGGTTGTGGGGAGCACCCTCAGCTTTGGGGAGCAGCCTTTGGTTGTGGGGAGCAGTAGCCCCCAGCTGTGGGGAGCACCCCTCGGCCATGGGGAGCAGCCCCCGGCTGTGGGGAGCACCCTCAGCTTTGGGGAGCAGCCTTTGGTCGTGGGGAGCAGCAGCCTTTGGTTGTGGGGAGCAGCAGCCCCCGGCCATAGGGAGCAGCCTCTGGTTGTGGGGAGCAGCCTTTGGTCATGGGGAGCAGCCCTCGGCTATAGGGAGCACCCCTCGGTTGTGGGGAGCAGCAGCCCCCGGCTGTGGGGAGTACCCTCAGCTTTGGGGAGCAGCCTTTGGTCGTGGGGAGCACCCCTCGGCTGTGGGGAGCAGCAGCCCCCGGCCATAGGGAGCAGCCTCTGGTTGTGGGGAGCAGCCTTTGGTCATGGGGAGCACCCCTTGGCCATAGGGAGCACCCCTCGGTTGTGGGGAGCAGCCTTTGGTCGTGGGGGGACACGACTGTGCCCCGGCTGTGGGAGGAGCGGCCCCACAGGTGTGGGGCTGTGCTGGAAGGCTGGAACTGACTCAGTTTGATGGATCAGTTTAACTGGGAAGTGGGGCTTGTCCCCATGCAGTGGCAGAGAGGGGGACTGGCGAGGGGGCTGGGGGTGGCAGGTATGCCCCAGGGGGCTGCTGGTCCAGTTTGGGTGGGGAGGGAAGGGTTTGCGTGCTGGGGAGAGAGGGGTCTGTACTGGGGTACAGCCCTGGCCCGCATGGGGGTGAGGGGAGGACCAGTACCTGCAGGGCAGGTTCCAGGGGGCTGGGGCCAGCTCGGGTCAAGCCCTGGGGGCAAGAGCAGGGCTGTGGCATAGGGGGGATGCAGGGGGACAGGGTGACCCCGGGAAGGGGACAGGCAGGGTGGGCCCCTGGAATGGGACTGTGGCGTGATAGAGCTTTGTGGTGGGGACAAAGCAGGAGGGACCTGTCATATGGGAAGAGCCAGAAGCAGCAACCTGGAATCCAGCTGTGGGTCACTCAGAAGGGTGGCTGAGAGATTTCAGAGTGTTGAGTTTTTTTGGGGGCAGGTTCTGTTGGAGGTGTGAGTGGGAGCACCTTTGGGCTCAGGAAGAGGCTGCCGAGTCTCCTCAGTGCCCCTCCATGCCTGAAGGCCTCACAGGAGCTCTGAGATCTCCCGGTGCTGCTCCCACACCCCTGTGGGGTGCTCAGGCGGCACTGAGGGTGGGCAAGCGCTGGTCTTGCCCCTGAAGCAGGGTTCAGGACCCTGGTGACCTGGGGAGCTGGCCCTGAGCTCTGGGCTCAGTGCTGAAGTTTCAGCACGGTCAGGGAGGCAGGTCTGTGTTCCAGGCACTGCACAGAGCTGTGCAGCTGAACATTGCGTTCCCCTCGGGGCTGCAGCCGCCTGGAAGCGGTGGAAGCAAAGGCGGAGCAGTCACAGAGAATGGGAACATCCTCCTCCTTCGGGGGAACCTCTCCTGCCTGCTCTGGCCACGGCTGGGACTCGGGAGTGTCTGGCCCTTGGGGAAGGTCAGCTGGATTTGAGGTATCTTCTCTCCCAGGGAGCAGGGCTTGAAGACTGGGCCCTGTTTGTCTGGGCTGTGGACATGGCCTGGAGGAACGAGCAGAGGAATGTGGGGCTGGGATCTGCCTCTTCCAGCAGTGGCTCAGCACAGCTTCAGCTCAGGAATTGTTTTTACCTTTTCATAACCATCATCTCTGTCAGAGCTAACAGCAGGAGACTGCTCCAAGGAGACAGCAGGCTGCTAATCCTGGAGCATCCCATGGAACCAAAACACCTGTGGTAAAAGAGAGTCCATTGAGCATCCTCAGAGGCAAGTTTGCCATCCTCTCAGGGGGGTGAGATGTATCCCCAGAATTTTCTGCTGCAGACTTGACTGTGCAGCATGAGGAGCCTTGGTTGGACTCAGTGGCTGCTGCAGCTTTTCCTGGCTGGGTGAGGATATTGAAGGTGCCCAGAGCGACACACGACATTTGAGGCTGATAACATCAGAGATGGGGAGCGAGCTGAGCTGAGCTCAGGGAATGAATCGCTCCGGGCTCCTGTTTTCCTTGCCTGGCTAGTTCCTGCAAATAGTGCTGGGGAACAGCAGAGGCCTTGGCAGGAGGATGAAAGACCAAGGAAGGGAGAATTGCTCTCCTGAGATAAGCTGTTGAGTGCCCCCAGCTCTGATGCCTCAGAACATGATTGCAATTAAGCCATTAAAACGCCCTTCTGATTCCCTGCAAGTCAAAGTGGTTTTTGTGCCAGCTGCCCTGGACCTCCTGGCATGGTTAGAGGTCAGTGGAGATGGTGGAGAGAGATGATTTACCAGCACAGAGGTGGGCAAGATAGTGCTGTGCTGCTGAAGCACGTCCCCCCTGGGTTTTTGGGCTCCTGGAACTTTGCTGATGCAGTTTGTGTGAGGTGTTTGGAGATGGAGAGGGTGGGAATGTGGCCAAGCTCAGTGCAGGCTCTGTGAATGGCTTTTCAGAGGAGCCTTAACTTGTGCTGGAGCTTGGGGAAGGTGCCAGTGTGAGCCCACAGCATCCAGCCCAGGACCTGCAGGAACATCCTGGATGCAGCTGGAGAAACATTGGGCCTATGGGCGCTGTGGAGAGGTTGGTGTCTCCTTGTTAGGGTCACCTGGAGCTGGGAATCAGCCCCTGGCATTGCTCTTTTCTCTTGTCAGGGACTCGTTTATGGTGAAAAATTGAAACAAGCAGGAGGTAAAAGATGAAAAGATTAAATATGATCAACTCCAGGCTGAAGTAGGAGCTGACTTGGTGGAGGTGAAAGGAGCAATAAGGACATTTTCCCCCAACAGCTGGGATTGCCTGGCTCTGCCAGAGCTCCCTTTTCACTGCAGTTCATGGGGATTTGTCTGTCAGCATAATGACCCCAGTGTGGTCTGAGCAAGGTGGTTCTTTGGTCAGGAGTGGCTTGCAGGCAGGGGTGAGCGAAGCTGAGTTTTGCACCTTCTCCAGCCACTGCTGTGGTGTTGCTGGGGTAGATTTGGAATGCTGAGGCTGGTGGCTTACCCAGGTTTAGTGAACGTGGATGTGGAGATGATGATGGCAGAGCTCAAGGGCAGGTTGTGCTCCTCCAGATCCCTGTGTGCCATCACTGCTGCGTGTGGGCATCTGCTCTGCTGCCTCCCTGGAGACTGCAGGTGCCCTTGGCAGCAGTCGCTTTCCCAACCCACGTCAGCCGCTCGGCGGAGCCTTAAACTCCAGCCGAGCCAAGCTGGGGGTGCCTGGAGCGGGAAGGGCACGGCGAGGGGCACCGGGCATGTGGCAGGGCAGGGGGCTTGGCAGTGCTGTCCCTGGCTGTCACCTCACCCCGCAGTGTCCTTGTCCTGCTGGCATCGCTGCCTGCTGGGCTGCTCCACACCTGGCTGCAGACAGATCTCCCTGCTGCGACATTGCTGGGCTCTGAGATGGGCTGAAGGCTCGGCTGTGGTTCCAGGGAGGTGAGTTGGGTGCCCGTGGGGCGGTGCTGTGCCCGTGCTGTGCCCGTGCTGTGCCCCTGCGGCTGCCGGCTGTGGCAGGGAATGCTAATGCAGGCGCTGCAGCTTTGCGGTGGCAGCGGGCTGGCTGCTGTGGGGGTGGCAGAGATGGAGCAGGGAAAAGCTGGGGAAGGGGGATGGGGCCTGTGGGGAGCTGCTGGCCCCTGGGAGGGTGGGTGTCCTCTCCAGAGCATCGTTCCTGCTGTCTGCAGTGGCCTGCGCACCGCTGACCTTGCTGCAGCCAGCTGCATCCCTGCCCAGCCCGTTCCCAAAGACCTGGCCCTGCCCCACTTTGCTCTGTGGTGACTTATCCCAGGTCCCTGCAGCTCTGCCAGGCCGGGTGATACCTTCCCCTTGGTGCTGTCAGGGGGATGAGACTGCCCTTGTTTGTCCTGACAGAGCTCCTGTAGCCATTCGTTTTTCCTGTCCCTTTAATTTAATTCCTTAGAGTGGCTGCTCATAAATCCTCTGTGCCTTTGTGAGCCTGTCTGGGGCCATGGCTACCACCTCCTGTCCTGCTGTTCTGCAGGCACCGTGCACCTGAATCTCCTCATTCCTTTGCCTAGATCTCCATTTCTTTGGTTCCCTGCTCGGAGTTTTTCTCTCTCATAATGAGGTGCCTGGGCTGGGATGAGTTGAACAGCTCATTGTCCTCTGTATGGATGTCCTGAGATAAGTCTGGCTTTCCCTGGAGTTCAGGAAAACCCTAATAAGTGGGGAAAAAAGCACAGGTGTGTTTGGAGTGGAGATGAATTACCAGGGATTGGGGCAACCTGGTGCTGTGTTAAATGATAGAATCCTAATTTTTTTCTCAGTTGCTCTTGGGACCTTCCCATTGTTTTGGTGTTTTGGAGGGTCTCCCTGATATCCAGAGGGGAGCTTGTGCCAGTGCCCCAGCACTGGGCAAGGCCAGAAGACACTTAATTGAATTGT